CATTGTATGAAAACCCTGATTATTTTTAGCTCATTTCTCAATCTCTCTAAGGCAGTAGTGGGGAATGTCTGGCCCAAATGCTATAAAAGCCCAAGAAGTCATTTGGTGTGACCATGCCAAGGTATTGCAGGTGGGACTCAAAATTCAATAAATCAGGGAGCTTTTTTCATAACAACATACATTTATATGAAGTGAATGATGTTATAAATATCCAAATGGCCCTTGGCGGAAGAAATGTTCCCCATCCATGCTCTAAGACATTTCTCTCATCCTTGTGGTCCAAGATGATGGTTCATGTTTAAGCTTCCACGTTTCTAATTCAGCCAGCAGATTGCAGAAAGATGTGAAGAAGAAAGGAGGCATTGTCAGGCTCCAACCAAGTTTTAAATAAAGTTCTAGGAAGGCGTTATAGAATATGTCCTAACTTATTCACTTGCTAATCTTACCTCCAAGATGAGCAGAGAAATGTACTCTGTATTTGGGGTGGCAACATGCATGGCTAATATTGTTCAGTCTGTTACTGTGAAGGAAGAAGAGAATGGATGTTGAGGATTCTAGATGTCTTTGCATCCATCCTTATCACTCTACAAAAACAACTTTCCCAAAAACAATAAATGAATTCCATCATGCTTTATGAGGGACTTGGCGTTCAGAACGGAGAAAGGGAGAATGGCTAGAAGGTGATAAGCTATAGGACCCTGGAGAGAAGAGGTGATCTTTACAATTTCTTTAAATGTGAGGTTTCAATGAGAAATAGTCTAAAGATTATGTATTTGTTTTCTAGGACTCCTATAACAAAGTGCTGAGAGCAATAAAATGAAAATCATGGATTATAATTTAAGTGGCGTAAAACAAGTCATTTATTCTTTCACAGTTTCAGTAGTTCAATAGCAAGGTAGCAGGAGGGTCTTGCTCCCTCTGAGACTCCTGGTGGAATCTGTCTTTGCCTTTTCTTTGCTTCTGGTGATGACCATTAATTCTTGGCATTCTTAGGTTATAGCTGCATCACCCCCATCTTTGCTTCTGTGACCTCATGGCTTTCTCCCTATGTATTCACATTGTGTTTTGCTCTTCTTAGAATGACATGAATCATATTGGATTAGGGCCTACCCTAATATCATCATTTAACTTGATTACATCTACAAAGGCCCTATTTCAAAATAAGGTCACATTCACAAGTACCAGGGGTTAGGACTTCAATAAATCCTTTAGAGGGACCCAATTCCACTATTAAAAGAGTACTTCTAGAAAATGTACTGTTTGGTGCGTTTTAGAAATCCAAACAAGAGAAGGTTGTGTTTTGTTTTTATAATGTGCTTATAATGTGATTAAAGGTCTACATTACTTTTCGAATTTTGGATCTAACTTTTGTTATTTTAAATGTGTCGATAGGCAAAGCAGGCTTTAAGGTGGCCCTAACTATTAAAATATACACACCTAGAATTTTTTTCATTCTGTACTAAATCCCATTCCATTGAACACCACATAGGATCATGACTACTTTGTCATTTCTGTGTACATGGCACACAAATATGTGTATGACATGATAACCAGGTTCTGTTTCCAGTGTCTTCAAAGTTTACATGTTATATCTTGCCTTAAATTTTGTATATCTATATCTATCTATATATCTATATCTATATCTATATCTATATCTATATCTCTATCTATATCTATATATCTATTTCTATCTATCTATATCTATTTCTATCTATCTATGTATCTATGTATCTATGTATCTATCTATCTATCTATCTATCTATCTATCTATCTATCTATCATCTATCTATCTATCATCATCCTATCTAATAATAGAGAAACATGGTAATTAACCATAACTTTGCTACCCTTCCCATTGGCTAATCAGCGAGACATACAAATTAACTGCCAGCCAAGATGGTGGCCGGCAGCCAGGCAGCTGAAGCGAACAGGAGGCTTGCTTGCCCCAGTGAAGGAGGAAGCCAAGGTTCCCCGCCTGCTGCTGCTGGGCTCTGAGCTTAGACTCTAAGAAACAATGTTGCAATTATAGAAGCTAAACAAACCCCAGAAACCTGCTTTTAGCCAGCCGGGCCTCAGAGCTGGAGCTGCAACAGTGTTTCAATTATAGAAGCCAAACAAACCCAGATACCTGCTTTCAGCACCTGAGGTCTCAGAGCTGGAGCCAAGTCTCAGAGCTTAAGCCGGCTGTCAGCTCCAGTGCAGCCATAGAATGTAAATAAATCCCAGAATAAAAGAAAAAAAGGAGAGGTTGGGAGCTTCAGTCACCCGCCAGCCTGAAAACAGCCCTCAGCCCCTCACCCAGACTGGCCAGGCACCCCAGTGGGGACCCTCACCCTGAAGGGGGTGTGACCAGCTGCAAACAGCCATCATCCCCTCATCCAGGCTGGCCAGGCACCCAAGCGGGACCCCCACCCTGATCCGGGACACCCTTCAGGGCAAACCAGCCGCCCCCCACCTGTGCACCAGGCCTCTGTCCTATATAGTAAAAGGGTAATATGAAAACTGACCCTAACAACAGAAAGACTGGGAATGATCGGTAACTATGACCCACACTGACTACCAGTGGGCAGACGCTCAATGCAAGAACTGCCCCCTGGTGGTCAGGGCGCTCTCACATGGGAAAAGCTCTGCTCAGCCACAAGCCAGGGTGATGGCTGCCAGTACAGTGGTGGTTGTGGGAGCCTCTCCTGCCTCCTCAGCAGCGCTAAGGATGTCCGACTGCAGTTTAGGCCTGCTCCCCGCTGGCAAGTGGATATCCCCCTAGGGCTGTCGGACTGCCAGAGGGATGTCTGATTGCCATCTTAGGCCCAATCCCCTGGGGAGTGGGCCTAAGCCAGCAGGTGATCATCCCCTGAGGGGTCCCAGACTGCGAGAGGGCACAGGCCGGGCTGAGGGACCCTCTTCTCCCCCCGAGTGCACAAATTTTTGTACACCAGGCCTCTAGTCTATCTATAAAAGCCTAAGTGACTGAATGACTGTTCGACCAGTTGCTATGTTGTGCCCTGAACACCAGGGGGCAGACGCTCAACATAGGAGCTGCCCCCTGGTGGTCAGTGTGATCCCACAGTGGGAACGCCACTCAGCTGACCAAAGGGTGCCAGACGCAGGGCTCATGGCTGGAGAGTGCTGCTGCAGCAGCTCGAGCCTCTCCCAATCAAGACTGACTGGGCGCAAGTGGGGCCAGCATGAGCGGGAGCAACAGGCAGGAGTGGCAGGCAGTGTTGGACCACTGGTTTTGGCCCAGTCCCCGCAAGCCACACTGAGGGACCCCACCGGTTCACGAATCTGTGCACCAGGCCTCTGGTATTATGTAACTTACTCAAAGAATATTTACTCACTATATATTTTTTAAACTTTATATACTATTATAAGATCCATAATAGAGTTTTTCGCTTCATTAAATATTCAAATTGGCACATTTAATGGTATAGATTTTGTTCAGGCAAGTATATAAGCCATGAGAACTAAAGCCATCACTAAAACTCTGACTTCTAGAGGACGGAAAAGATATCAACACACACACAACCAAGAAGCACACGTTTGTACACTCATGTGCTCACATTTGAACAGATTCAATAACCGTGCCCCCAAATATAGCAAACAAAGATCATTTATTAACAGTCCATTATATCTCAGTACATTGATGAATATATGTAGTAATGACCCTGTTTATATAAAAAGGTTATATTTTTTTTATTTTATTTTATTGATTTTTTACAGAGAGGAAGGGAGAGAGATAGAGAGTTAGAAACATCGATGAGAGAGAAACATCGATCAGCTGCCTCCTGCACATCTCCCACTGGGGATGTGCCCGCAACCCAGGCACATGCCCTTGACTGGAATCGAACCTGGGACCTTTCAGTCCGCAGGCCGACGCTCTATCCACTGAGCCAAACCGGTTTCGGCAAAAGGTTATATTTTATTATACAATCTTTTTTGTAGTATATTCTTATAAATGTTTCAATCCAAGTATTTATTATTTGTATTTTAAAAGGTAGTATTTTGAGGATTTAAAAACCCAAGTGTTAATTATGTAAAAATTGTATTCAGCTTATTTTGCAATAGGGAATATCATAGCCCATGGTCACAGATAATAGTGTAGTGAAGGCCAGGGAGGGGTGGGTTGGGGTTGGAGTGGGTCAATGGAAGAAAAAAAAAAAAAAGGAGACATCTATAATACTTTCAACAATAAACATAAATTAAGATTGAAAAAAAAATGTTATTTTCATCATCTTTTGCTTTTTATTTATTTTCATATGCAGAATGAACCCTGATAGAAAATAGGGTGAATTATAAGTCCAAAAGAAATTCTTGTTTAAATGAAATTAAATGTATTTACATGCTTTATGTGCTCATTAGAAGTGTGATTATTTAAATTTATCTCCTTGCTACATGTTTCTATGGAACCTATGGCTTCTTACTCTCTGTCATTAACACATGCAACTTATGAATGAAAATATGTAATATTACTTATATGTGGAATAAAATAAAGCTGATTCATAAAAACAGAAAGAAGAATGGTGGTTTCCAGGGGCTTTGGGGTAGGAGATATGGGGTATATGTTAGAGTATACACTTCAGTTATAAGATGAATCTGTTCTGGGCATCTAATGTGCAGCATGGTGATTATAAATAACAATATCATATTATCTACTTGAAAGTTGCTAAGAATAAATTTTAAATGTTCTCACCACAAAAAAGGTATAGTAACTGTGTGAGGTGATGGGGGTGTTAGCTAGCTATTGATAATAAATTTGCAAATATCTATAAATGTATCAAATCAACATGCTGTACACGTTATACTTACACAATGTTATATCTCAATAAAGCTGGAAAAATAAAAGTACAGATATCAGTGTGTGGGTTATGGATCTTAATGACATTTTAATATTTTAATTGGGGGCATTGTGGTAATGTGTGGAATACAGAGTTGAGGGAGATGATATTGTACTTGTCATGTGAAGGTTATATAACTCCCCGTGTATCTTCTTGTCTTGGCAGTGTGTGCAGGAACAGAGAATAAGCTGAGCTCTCTCTCTGACCTGGAGCAGCAGTATCGAGCCTTGCGCAAGTACTATGAGAACTGTGAGGTAGTCATGGGCAACCTGGAGATAACCAGCATCGAGCACAACCGGGACCTCTCCTTTATGCGGGTACAGTTGTCTCCTATCTCTTCTTTGCGAGCGAATAGTGGTGTCCCGATGCATAGTGATAGATCAGCTTGCTTGTATCTGACAGTAGTGCTCTTCTGGCCAGCAAGGACCACGTCTGTAGGCAGAGAGAAGAGATACCAAGACACAACCAGAGAGAGAGCAAGAGTTCTAGTAGCACTGCCATGGTGACTGGCACTCTGAGTTTAGAGCAGTTACTGTTGCCCTAAGACTGACCAAGATTCTGCCAGGGTGTAGTGCATGCCATCTAGCAAGTCTGTCTTTGTTCTGAATTGTAGGAGAGAGGAAAACTAGGAGAGTCACGGTACTAATCAGATACTAATTTTATCTTTAGGTAGTAATATCCTTTCCCACTCCTTTCTCTTTCATGTTGGAAATTGTAGATTATTTTCTATTACTGTAATGAGACAATGTTGATTTTCAATCATTCTCTATAAGACATAGAATTTGCATTGCTTTTCCAGTGCTGGTAATAGACAGACACTATTTCATACTCACACATAGTTTCTCTTCTAAGGACAGATCTTTCAAAGAAAGCAGATAAAGCTGTAACTCAGAGACTGTATGATGCTGATTGGCTCACTGTCACCTAAGACCTTGGCTTCATTAGCATGGTTTTCTTACAGTAAAATCAGGGATGGTACATCACAATAATGAGTTTCAAGTTGCAACAAGTAACCTCGCTTTGCCTACCCCTTAGCTGTTTTCAGTAAGGATGAGCAGCCAGTCAGCTTTCATATAAAATTCTGAAATATTTCCATTTCAGCCTACATCAGAGCATCTGACTAGAATTAAATCCAACTGCATAAGGGGGTGGTTTTATATTTGTGTGTTTGTTTCCCTTATCCTCCTTGCTCACATTTATATCTATGCCTGGGCTAAGCTTTATGCTGCATAGCATGATTTAGCAAAACCCTATCTTGGAGAATTTATATTTAAAAGAAAATAGGTAATTTACAAAATACTTCATTCCTTTGGGTTGGAAAATGATGTATTGAATAGTTGTGTAAACACCAGCTACCACTGCCTATCTGTGACTGTTTTTAGCTCATTAAATACCAGAGGGAATGACTTGTGTGGGAGAGATTTTGTTGGAGAGATGGAAAGAAAGCAGGATGAGAAGGGTTGTCATATTTTAGAGTCATTAAAAGTAGGAGAGGAAACCACCATTTAAATGAAAGATCTGTGGTATAATAAGGTGGGTCCACATGTATTATATTCTCACACATAAAAGATAATGTAGATAATGTAAGTGCAACATTTTCTAATACAGCATGTCTCTTTCAGCTGTGTACACATTTTCATTGGGAGAACAAGCCTGAATTTAAATTTTTCCTGAATAGCTTTGTGAGATAAATAAGTGGTACATTCATAAATCCGTTAAATGGCTGGCAAGGAAATAAGATTCCTATTTCAAGTATCTGCATTCTCTTACTAATTACTCATTGAGCACAATAGTCACCAATTGGAACAGATGTCAAAAAAGGACTATGAAGATGAACATTCAAAATCCTTAGAACTAATCTTCAATATGTTCAAAGAAACTTCACCTAAAAGAAATACATCAGTCAGGTAAACAGCATGAGAGTAGATAGGGTATTCCAATTTATATGTAATTCCTCTTATTTTGTCGGAATTTCATGTACAACTACATTTGTGCTGAAGTAGAACATATTTGCTGTATTTAGATGACAAAATTTTAGCTAGGTGCGATGGAGAATATTAAAAAGGAAGTAGAGAGAATACTATTTAAATATGTCTGTTGGGCCAAAGCAGACATTCTGAGTTAAATGGAATTTTCAGAGCTTTCTGAAAGTTGTTCCTAAGACTGTTAGACAAATACATATACAATTTTGTATGTATGTATTTACAGCTGGTTTTTAAATTGAAACTTGTTTATTTTTTGTACTAAATCTAATCATAGAACTTGTGTTACATTTGAAAAAGCTATGCAATTTACACTTATCCTAGGGAAATATATTTTTCCTTAGAGGTTAAATACCATTTCATCTGAAAATATACATTGATTAAAAATTCTGATGCTCTTCAGCAATCCTACATGATAAACCAAAGGATGAAGTGTTGCCCAGTCAGCATGGATCAGTGGTTGAGCGCAAATCAGGAGGTCATGGTTGGATTCCTGGTCAGGGCACATGGCAGGGTTGGGGGCTCAATCCCTAGTGTGGAGTGTGCAAGAGGTAGCCTGTTGGGGTCCAGCCCCAGCAGGTTCAGGGTTTCCTCAAGGTGTGGACGGAGTTGGCGAAAAAGGAATGATATGAAGGCAGCATTCAGTTGATCAGCATAGGGAGGTTCTCCCTTTCATTGTCCTGTTACATCTATATTTAAACTATTTGATCCCATAAGCATGCCTCTATAATTACATCATGGTATGTTTTTGGTCACGTTCTACAGTTCCTTGTTTCTTACCTGACCTTAGCCAAAAATCCTGTCTCTATCTAATTCTGTTGATTTTAATCTTGTCTAGGTTAATCTCTGTGTTCCATTACAAGGGCTATTCCAAGGTCACTGCTCTACTGATAGGCTACAAGGAAGTGACTGAAGGAGATTATCCTACCCAGTAAAGGTTATGTCCTCCCAGCCTCGCTGCTTGCCTTCCCTGGGACTGCCCTGTGTAGGTGGATCTCCAGGGGTATAGGCTTTGGTGCTTTCCCTGGTGGGCAGACCCCTGGGGACGTGGGCCCAACAAGTCCCAAATTTATTGCCAACAGTCTTAGTCCAAGTTCTTCATAAGTAGTACATGGTATTTCTGTAACACTAGGGGGATTTACTGATTTATTCTCTTCCTTAGCCCTATTAATCCCTAACCTGGGGAAACAACCTTTCTCGGGGAGGTGGTCCTGTTTAAAACACATAGCACTAAGAGGGGGAGTGAACATATGTCATACATGCCAGATCCCTTGAAACATAAGCTGTGCAGATGTTTCTTCCCTGCAGCGGCTGTGTCAAGCAGCAAGGGTGGACCGGCTTCCGGCAATAGCCAACCAATGATTCTCATCAATGTTTCCTGCTCTTTAAATCAATAAAAACAGTCCAGCCAGTGGTACTCAGTGGTTGAGCATCAACCCATGAACCTAGAACCAGGAGATCTAGGTTCATTCCCAGTCAGGGCACATGTCTGAGTTGCAGGCTCAATCCCCAATGTGGAATGTGCTAGAGCCAGCTGATCAATGATTCTCTCAGCATTGATGTTTCTATCTCTCTCTCCCTCTCCCATCCTGTCTCTGAAATTGATAACAATAAAAAAATTAAATGTCTACATTATTGATTTGGTAGTTATATAAATATATTTTAAAAGGACTTTATTCTTAACCATTGAAAAGAAATATTAAAGTGTATTCAACAATTTCTCTCTTTATTAAAAATATTAAATATATAACAAACTCAGTAGTACCTAAAAAATATGTACATCTATTAGAAAATAAATATTTGAGGAAGCATTGGATAAGATAGTTATAAGAAATATATCAATATAATTTATAATTTTAACATATATAAATATACATGCATGCAATATAAATATAAATTAGTGACCATATATACTTATATATGTAAATATTAATTAGTTACATTTTTCTAGGATTAAGTCAAATTATTATAACCATATATGTTTCTAGGAGAATATTAATAAAAGTAAAATTGCTTAATAGAAGTTTTTTAAGTCCCTAAATTGTAATGCACTTCCAGAAAACAATGCCCTTGTTGCAAATGTACTTAAATTAGAAATGAATTTATTAGGATACTGAACAGATGCAAAGTGTTCCTTTATACCTCTGGGGGTTGTATTATTTAAATTTGGCTTAAATGTTGAGTATAATGATTTTATAGGCTTTCATTAACCTTAATTAGAGAAAAATGCAGGTAGCAAGCCCACTTCACTCCATGATTCTTAGATACTCTGATCTGGGGAATTGGGTATATAATGGTTATTTCTTCACCTCTTTTATATGTAAGTAGCAAAGACTTTGGTTCCAAGAGAGAGAATAAATGATAAGAGACTAAATAGAAGCATTTGGACAATGGGATACTATTTACTTCTAAAATCCACATACTGGAATATAATTAAGTAAAACCTTTCATAAAAATCATACTTATGTTCATTTTATTAGCTTTATTTTTCTGTCTTAAATGAAACATCTTATTTTCTTTTAAAAAAAGGACAAACTTGACAAACAGTTTTATATAAGATCAAAACAGTTTTAAAGGTCTCTCTTTAATCACAAAGAGTATAATTTAAAGTTCAAGAGTGGAAAAATAAAATGTGAAATCTGTTGCATTTAGAAACACTGCAATTATTTACCCTGCTCCCTAATTTGAACCCACTTAACTATAAAATATTATATTTAAATATATAATGAGAGTGATAAAAATTAAGATATTTGTTTTAGTAAATATAAGCACCTTTAAAATAATTTCTTTTAAATTTCTACATGGAAATCAAAATATCTACTTGAATGTTGAAGTAAATTCTCTTATTAATTCAGTGCCATACTTGTTTCTGAAAATTAAAGTTTTTATCATGGTTCCTGGCACTTCGTTGAACCTTAGTAAAATCTGGCTTTATTAACGCTATTGTTTTTTTTTCCTTCCTTCTTTGACTCCCAAGGCAGTCACTATTGAGCAAGGTTCTGATGACCTCACAATGCATTTTTACAAAGCTTTTTAGAGGTTCAGCTTTTGGGTGGTAGTGATTTTGCATTTTCAGAGAGGTGAAATTGCAAGGCAAATACTTGGTTGTTTATTAAGAGGCGATCAATAGCTAAAAAAAAAAAAAAGATGCAGATGCTCTACCTAATGAGTGAGGTCTGTTTCAGTAATCTAAAAGACATCATCACATGGAAGCATTAAGAAGCATTCACCCTAGAATCAATGAGAGATGAATAAAGCATTGAGAAGAGTCCTTTAAGAAAAACAGGAAAGTACAAGTAAATATGAACTACATGCTAGATCATATCTCTTTCTTA